TCACATGAATATTTCCAAGATCGGATTCCACTGACTGCAGCAACACCGCAGTTTTGCCAAAAAAGGTGTTTTGTCCAGTGTACTGCACCGTCCCATCCACCTCACCGCGCACAACGTTTGAGCCCATTTTGGGCATGTGGTCCGTTCCCATCGTCACGGGAAGCGACTCACCCGTCAGCGCCGCCTCGTCCACGTCAATCACACCCTCGTTGATGCTGCAATCGGCAGGCACCGCGGAGCCGGATGCGAGCTTCACAAGATCACCGGGCACCAGCAGCGCGGCATCCAGCTGCTGCCATGCTCCGTCACGGTGGACGGTCGCCACGGGCTTCAGTGAGTTCTTCAGCGCAGCCACAGCGTCGCCTGCCTTGATTGTCTCATACCACCCAATTGTGGCATTGGCAAGCTGAATAGCAAGAAGAATGGCACCGTCAGGCCAGTTCTCCAGCGCAAACTCAATGATGATGGCGACCCACAGCGCAAAAGGCATAGGACCCCATAGGTTACGCACAAATATCAGCCAACTGGGCGTTTTCTTCTCCGGGAGCTCGTTGCGTCCGTATTTGGCAAGGAGCTCTTCCGCTTCGGCCGTCGTCAGTCCCTTGGACGGCGGCAGCATTGGCACTTCATCGACGTCGTCCTCCTTGTGCTCACTAATGGCCTTGGAGAGAACGGACTGACGCTTTTGCGGCTTTTGTGGGGGATGTTGTTCGTTGAAGTTACCATTATTGCTGTTGTTCAGCACGGACCTATCGTTCTTCTGGTTCATGGCTGCTTTCCTATTTCTGTTGCGCTAAAAAGGCTTACTACTATCAGTAAGATACAATTTGAAATATATTTTATGTTTTTTGTAAGCAGAGATTTTGTATTTTTTTCGTCCATGTAACTAGATGGACCGTTTATTGAGAATAGAAGAATTATGAAGAGTATGTGAATATAGTATTCCGTTTCAAAAGACCCATGAAGGCTACCATAGATATTTATAGCACGTTTCTGGTACTATTTACCCGTGTTTCTTCCAAAGAAAGAATGCTTTGCTGCCCATATGATCCCCTCTTCTTCCTTAACATCCACCTGTTGAGGATGTCTACGCAAAAAGAGATAGAGATTCTCTTGAATGGTTTTTTTTTCAAAAACGGTTTCTGCCTCATGAGATAATGAAGCGAGTGCCTGCTGCCGTGCGATCGTGAGACCGTGATCGATAAGCTGCAGAATGCCATCGCTCTGGTGGGCAATTATTTCCTCACTTAGCTTATCGGAAGATAGTTTGTTTGGTATGATATCATATTTTAAATTGACAAAAGTGGTAGGCAGTGTGCTGTGCAAGTACTGTACCACCACATGCTGAATATCATCAAGTTCGGCTGCGGCGCAGTATTTTCGAACGTTTTTCCCTTCCTTGTCAACCCAGCACATTCGACCAAATTGACGAAGCCATGGCTCAACTCCCCCATACTCACGGGAAACGTCCTGTACACTGTTCTGTGCTGATAATGGCAATTTTTGAAGGAGTCGGTCGATAGAAAGCCAAATAGGCTTGAGGTGTTGCTCGATCGCTGCAGCCTCACGAGAGTCCTCAGACCCCAGCTCCCCTGCGCACCCGGGAGCCAACCAGTACGGTCGAAGTCGCCACAAGAGCATCTTATCTTGTTGCCAAGAACAATCCTGCGTCAATAAATAATGATGATTGGAGTTTTCTTCAGTAAAGGAAGTGAGAGTTGAGATCGAAACACCGGCGTTTTGAGCCCACTCCGAGATGCCAACGTAACGGTCATGTCGGAGCGCCTTGAGAAGCGAAAAGCATTCTGAGTTGGAACACACAACTGTGGATGTGGTATGTGTTTTGGAACCAAGAGGAAGCCCCCCTTTCTTTCGTGTTGCAGATAAATCCATTTTTGTGCGAATAGGCGTATTTAAAACAGGAAATGCACGAGTGACGCTGGTTTCCTTAAGTTTTCGTTGGGTAGGACCTGTCGATGATGCGCCATTTGTTACAGCATCATAAAGAACGTTGGCTGCTCCAAGGCGTTCATGTTGAAGCGTTGGCTTTAAACGTACAGTATCTGATTGTTTATTTCTATCAAAATAGTAGGAGTAAATTTTAATCACCTTGTGAAGAGTATTCCTCGGACCGAGAACTCTCGCGAGAGCGTCTGTCACTTTTATCTGTTGTACAGGAACGTGGGTGGTGGGGACGCACTCAACAAATAGATCCAACATCTCGCTGGGTGAACGTCGCCCACGCAACAAGGCCATTGTTGTATGCGCCTTTAGTAGTTCCTCGGATGACATGCGTGCTTTTGAGGAGGAAAGATCCTTCTTTTTTGAAGGCAATGGTGGAGGTGTCCGGTGTTTTTCTATTCGCTCCGGTACTTTTGAAGAAGCAGAAGACATAGATGATTTATTCTTTGTCTGCTGCTGGTGCTGTATGGTGCTGGGGAGAGCTGCTGTGGCAACGCTAACACTTTGAATAAACCCGTCTTTTGGCTCAACATCATCGGAAGTGTCATCGTCAGCGGTTAAAAAATCATCATCATCGTCCAAGTTAAGCTCAACGTTCCATGCGTCATCTGCGTAATCCGCTACAGGCATTACTGACACAACGCTTTTGTGAGTTGCCTCTTTCGAAAGGCAATGATATGTTGTTATTCCTTGTGAAGAAAGAATTCCCTTTACGGATACAAAAGATGTGTCCTCGCTAAGGTCCAAATAGTCCTGAGCTAGTGTATTCTTCAAAAGACGTAATAGCCCACCTCCCAACTCTCGAATAGAGTCTTGAAGTTCCATTGGAAATGTTTGTAGCAATCCGGTCGTAGAAATTGGCTTGTCTTTGGGTAACATTTCCTGCAGCTGTTGTAGAACGAGGCTCATTTTTTTCTCAGAGAAGTTTGTTTCTGCAGAGTGAAGTCTAACTCGCACTTGTGTCTGAACCATTTTCTTCTCATTTTCACCATCACATTCTCTTTTTTTCGTTGCCTCTTCTACCGATATGGATGGCGGCAAGCTTCTTGCAGCCTGCACACGACTCACATACCAACGGAGACTTCCGTCTTCTTCCTCAACCTGGTAGGACCGGAACCGATGAGGAAACAACTGCACAAAGGCAAGGACAGATCCAAAAAGCTCACTTACGGCCTCCACGTCTAGGAGAGGTGTGATTGTGGTGAGTCGAGTTCCCGTGCCGTCAGAAGGGAGAAGCTCCAGAATGTTGTTCACAAGCCTCATTGTTGAAGAAAGAGGGGGTTGATTGACATTGTGGGTTGCCTCAGTTTCAATCACGCCCCCATCGTGGTTCTCCTTTTCGAGCGTTTCTGACGGCGCGGAATGAAGCAGCAGCTCCTCATAATCTTCCAGCGTCACCTCATCCTCCTCAACGGTATCATCTACAAAGTCCGGCTCCATTCTTGTGTGAATCCATCGGCACAATGGGCCCAAAGAGGGAAACCGGAAGGCCGCACTCACAAGCACCGATGGGCTCACTGACAGAGGAGATGCCCTTCCACGCCGTGCAGCAGAAATTCTACGGCCCAACGTATTCCTCCTCAGTCCTACTCCGCCACACATGCCTCCTGCACGACGCAGCATCCTTGTGACAAGAGGGGCGAGAAAGACAGCCGCAAGCCCACCATTCTTGCATGTTTGATAAACAACAACAAAAAAAGAAAAAAACTTTGTTTCATAGGTTTGAGTAAACTCCGACAGCTCCATTTTGTTTGTTTGCTTGTTTCTTTTTCGTTAGCCTTCTAATATTATTATTATTATTATTATTATTATTATCATTATCATTATTATTATTATTGCTGCCCCAGAAACAAGCAGCTGTGTGTGTAAAAGTGATAAAAGGCGCCACCCCGCACCATCAATGAGCAAGGAAATTTCACTAATAAAAACAATGACAAGCAGAAAAAAGCACAGCTGTGAGTACTTGAGATTATATAAACAACGCGCGACCGCCGGTGACCAAAATTACTAGGGAGCAGCAGTCACATTCACAGCGTTTGTTCACTCCTTGCGTCTCGACCTCACGTTCAGTGATGAACAACTCGAACACACCGCCGCAACGACATTCCAGCTTGTACACCCGCATCTTTAAAACGCCACCATCCTTCATGGTAGCATCGTACACAACTTTCTCCTCTGCAAGAAAGAATTCACTCAAGTCGTGCGTGTCGCTCACCGCGCCGACAGACCGCACGTAGGCCTGCTCTCGCCCGTGGTCATATTGAGCACGACGCAGAGGATCAAGCAACAACTCGGATGCCTCCTTTACGACATGGAATGGGTAAATTTCAAGCGTCACCCCCAACTCCTCCTCATTCGTACTGCCGTTTTTCCGTTTGTCGGGATGAGTGCAGAGTGCTAGTCGCTTAAATGCCGCACGAATTTCCGCAACCGAAGAGGAACTCGAGACGCCAAGTACGTCATATGGAGAAATTGCATTTTCCATCTTTTTAAAGGCCCAAATAAGTTCAATCACACCAACATAAACAAAAAAGAAAAAAGAAAAATTCCGTAAAATGATACCGGCGCTATGGTCACTCGGTAGTTAGCGCCGTTCGATGCCACACACACACACACACACACAGGGAAAAAAATAGCATACCGAAGTGAATCAAAAAGCAGACATAATCCCCTGCAAGGAAAAAAATAAACATTTATTTCTCTCGTTTTTTCGGTGCGTCTGTTTGTGTGTCTGTCGGAGATCCGTGACCAGTACCCACATCCTTTGTTTTGAAATGTCATCCATAATTTTTTTCAAACGTAAATAACACATGACACACACGAGAGTAACAGAGAAGTACGCATCAGTTCAATCGAGGATCCTTCGCACGACCCAGTTACTCGGAATACTCGCACACAGAGATACATTCATTTACCTCTGACCACTCACTACTTCTCTCTCTCTCTCTCTTCCCGCACTACAGCAAATAATTGCCAGTTTAAAGAAAAAAAAAATGGCCCATGCACACTATCCACTCTCCCTCGTTCTATCATACACTCAAACACACACGCATATATCTACATCTGTATGCGTATTTCATTTGGAGAGAAAGACAAAAAAAAAAAAAAAAAGATGTCCGTCCGCACCACCCCAGATGCAATCTGTAGATACTCTGATAATTTATGAATTCATACAATATCCCGAATGACGTTTTGCCTCATCCCTTTGTTTTCCTTCGTTCGCAAAACGGAACAAAAGCAATAATAATAACAACAACAAAAAAAAAGCCCTCGCCCATCATGCACAACACCAAATCCCACTAGCTTGTCGCAACGGCGTGTGCCTGCTCACAGGCATCCAGCTCGTCAGCAACAGCGTTATTTTCATCGGCGTCGCCTAAATACAGTTTTCCCACCGGGCACAGTTGCGAAACCGGCATGTTGTTGTCCGTTTTCACTTCCAATTCGTCCAGGAAAGTGCTGATCTCACTGAGCCCACCACGACCGATCATTCCCAGGTTAAAATCTTGCGCATGCTCGTTAAGAAATCGCACACATCGCGTACAATGAATGCAGCGGTTGAGTACCACACGCGTCTGAGGGTCAAAGTAGAAATCCTGAACGGCACGTTTATCCTCTTTGTATCTAGGAATGTCAGTACCGTAGTTCATGCTGATATTCTGAAGATCACAATTTGTTGCTTGCTCACAGATGGGGCAGTCGTTGGGATGATTGATAAGAATAAGTTCCACATTGCCCTCCCGGGCATCCCGAACCAATCGACTGTCCGTAATAATCGACATGCCTGGAAGCGCTACCGTGGCACAAGAGACAACAAGATTTTGAGTTCCATCGACCTGCACCAGACACATTCGACAATTGCCCGCTACGGAGAGAATAGGGTGATAGCAAAACTTGGGGACGCGAATTCCCTCACGCTCCAGTACTTCCAACAAATTTTCCTCTTGAGGAATAATCTCGACTGGACGTTTATTCACAAACATAATGGCACGAGGTTTGTGTTCTGCATATTGGCCCGCAGCGACACCCTCCACAATTGCCTCCACCCCGCCTCTATGAACGTACTCGCTCCCATGCAATGTGTCCGTCATATCACTATTGTACGGTGTTCCGTCAGATTTAAAAAAGCGCCGGGCCATCAAAAGCGAAGGTGCGGCATACCACAAGGGAAAACGTGCTGCTAGCCGCTTCATCCTCGCGTTTTCGCCAACGTCCAAAACCTCCTCCAACAACCAGCAATAAAGCTCTGCAATCGCTATAAATATCTGTATTGAACTAAAAACCAACAGAGACACACAAACACATGCACAAAAAGAAAAGAAAAAAAAGATCCCAATGAAAGACACACAGCAACCAAATCTACACGCAAAATAAATATTTTTTTCTAACAATAATAATAATAATAATAATAAATATGCCACGTTATGCAGAAACAGAGGAAAACGTGACCAAAACACCATCATCGTCTTCGTCATTAGGCCACAAAAATAACGCGGACAACAAAAAAGTCTGTCTGTTTATTTAAGTGGTCAAAAAACTGACCGGGAAAAAAAACAAAAACAAAAACAAAAACAACGACAACACGCATGGAAAAAAAAAAAAAAGAGTAAAAGAAAAAATATATATATATATGAAAAAGAAAGTATTTATTGCAAACTCAATCTTCTAGCTCTGAGTGAAAAAAAAAAAAAAAAGGCAGCACATAGCCTTAAAATCTTCTCCATAGCGTCGACGAGCATCTGGTCTTTTTCTCTTCTTTTGCCATTCAAGTACATGTCTATTTGTGTGTAAGCATCGTTTCTGAAGAAATACATCGGAACGGGAAAAAAAAAAAAAAAAAAAGAAATGAAAAAACACCAGAAAAGTATTCCATGGCAATGTCCTGTTCTCGTGCTCAACAACAATTTGTTGCACAATAGGCTGTACGCCCCCGTGGTCTCCAACACACCGTAAAGATATATTAATAGCGTAGATGTGTACATATTTGAAAGAAATAAAAAACATAATATATACATACATATACATATATTTGTACACACACGCACGCACACACACATACACACAGAGGCATATATATATATACATATGTATGTATTGTGTCAAAAAAAAAAAAAAAAAAAAAAAACAGAAAAACACAGAGAAAAAAAAAATGCACGAGAAATTTCCTAAAGACACTTTCCGCGACAACGCAACAACAACAACAACAACAATAAAATAAAATAAAATAAAATAAAAGTGTATCAAAAGAAAAAATAATCCAAAAAAAAAAGGCCGCGATTTTCCCGTTTTTTTTTTTTTTCTCCCAATTCTATGTAGAAAATTTTTTTTCCCCCTTTTCGTTTATTCACAGGGTCTTTTCACAGAGAAAAATACAATCATTTTTCTTTGCGCCTTCCATTTCTTCCTCCTGGTTGGTTGCTATTTGGTACACTTTGTTTTCCTGGTGTTTATGCGCCTGTCCAGCGTTGTTTCCATTCTTCTTTTTTCGCCGTGGGCAGAACTCAAAGAAACCGCAACTCCTTTTGTTACGATATTTTTCTTCTCTTCCCCCCTCCTCTCATTTCATTTTATTCTTCTATTCGCAGTTTTCCCATTCCTCCCTCCGTCTGCACTCTTCGCAGCCACACACAAACTTCTTTTTTCTTTTCTTTTTTCATTAAGGAGAAGGGGGAAAAAGTGCCTTCTTCTGGCCGTATCTTCGCCTTGACTCTCCCCTAATTTCCTTGTACGTTTTTTGTTTTTTTTTTCTTCTTCCGCTTAAAGCCATTCCCCACCCACCCACGCCCATCATTTTTGTTTGTTTGTTTGTTGTTGTTTTTTCTCTTTTGTTATGTGGTTGCCTCTCATTAGTGCGTGCGTGCCTGCATGCGCGTGGTTGTGCGCCCTTTTCCGTGAAAATGCATGCAAAAGCCGAAAGGTGGGCGTGTCAAGGAGACACACGAAATCCGTTGAAAAAGCGGCAACAAAAACAGCAGTGGAAATAAAATAAAAAGAGGGGAAAGTCGACAGGAGAAGAGCAAATGTCTACACAATGGCCTTATCTGTGGGGGCCCGCACTGCATTGTTTTGTTATTTTTTTGTTTCTTGTTCTTCTTCTTTCCTTCTATTATTTATTTATTTATTATTATTATTATTATCTTTTTAGTTGTTGTTGTTGTTTTTTACTGTCCATTCACGTCCGCTGCAACTCCGGGGAGTAAAACAGGCCCCCTCCCTCTCTCGCCTGCGCCGCGAGGTGGTCCAAGACGCACTTTTGACGAAGCAAACGCTGCTGGCGAGCATTTTCGTTGTCACCGTAAAGACGTTCGTCGGTGTCTGGATTAAATATACACATGCACGACAACCGACGCTGAACTGCCACGAACCCCTCCATGTAAAGGTCCTGCTCGACGGCCAATTTAATATGCTGCCATTGGCGGTTGATCTCCCTTTCGTTCTTTAATGGAAGCGACTTTTCGTGGCATTTTTTATTGTAACGACGCACGAGCGAAACATGAACCCGATGAGCCTCATTAAGAAGCGATTTGCTGAGTATGCTCAAAACATTGAGCGGCGGTGCATTCTTTTGCCCCATGGAGAGAAACAACTCGTAGTGGCGTTGCATCCGTTCATTTTCAACCATTAAACGCTGTTCATTCATGTCAAAAAAAGGGTGCAGATTCGATGAGGTCGTTCTCAATGATTCGTATAACTCTTCAAAGGGGCTTCGTTCGTCATATGAATCCTGGGTCAAACTGAGCCCGTAGGCATTTAATGCAGGTTCATTTGCATCGTCGGATTCATCGTTTTCACTACTCGTTGACTGAGTGAGTCCTTCCTCACCAAACGCAGAGCTGCCCAATGCATCATCTAATTGTGACGAGGAGGAAGACCAGTGAACGTGAAGGTCGTCGCCTCTTTCTACATATGACTGGTTCTGTGGCTTTGTCAAAAACGACAGGTACGGACGTTCGGTAGAACTTTGATGAGACGCCGACAATACCATGCGTTTGCTCTGGAGGTGAAAGAACCCTGATGCAGTAAACGTATACATATGCATGTATATATAGATATATCAAGATAGATAAAGCAAACAGAGAGAGAGAGAGAGAGAGAGAGAGAATATATATATAGCATAAATAGATAGAAAAATAAATAAATAAATGTTTATGGGCGCCTCCCACGCCCTCCCTTTTGTTTTTTCTTTTTCTTTTTCCTTGTCGTCGTGAATCTCTCTGGGTTGGTGAGGCGGTTGTTTTGGGTTCCCCACTCCCACAGTTTAATAAATAACGCAAGACTCATAAGAGGCCTTTAACTGTCGATATGATCGATGCTCCCACGTCAAGCATGACCACAAAAAAAATATAATGGTAAAGTAAAAATTTTAAGATAATAATGCACCACCGACGACACTAATCCTTCCGGTACTCCACAATTACCATCCCGCGCATGAGCATCAGTGCCCCAGCGGCCGCCAACCCCCAAGCTGACTGAATCACTCGATGATACCTTTTCTCAACTCGGCGAAAACGTTCATATTCACCGGCACTAATATCGCCATCAATACGATTTAATACCACAAGCGAACACATGCCAATCTGTTCAAAGCCATTGTCTATCAGCATTTCGTTGAATATAGGCATATGGGCTGCGCCCCATGGAATTGCAAAAGACTTGTAGCCGTTGGATAAGAGAGGGTAAATCATGTCCAGGCAATGTTTTTCTCTCGCAAAACTTCCTATAAGAGGCACATTAAACCGAACGGAACACCACCAGGGTAACTTTTCATAATCGTATTTGTCCGCAGCATGAACAATGGTCATATGAGGAGAATCCTTCACACCCCATGAAAAAGGCTGCCAAAAACGTTCCACTTCTCGCGGTTCCCAGCCCTCATCATCTTCATGTCCCAAAGGACGTACCGAAGCAACACGCTCACGCGGAGGAACAATTGTCGAAAATGGCGCACCGGCCAAAGGCGTGCGCCCCTCCATCAATACAGAATCATGTTGACTGCAAAGCCCATCCACTTGATGAAAAAACTGAGGGTGTGCAAAATGCTGAAGTGGTATTAAAGTAACAATAACCTGATTTGAAGGATGTTGATACGTGTATGCAATGGAGGCCACCGAGTTTTCCCTCACCATAATAAAGTCGGTTATTCTTTTCGAACGAAACGGGAAGGCGTATTGCCACCTCGGTCGGTAAGAAAGTATTCGCGTGGCCTCCCCTCTCACACAGGAATGCACACTCCTAAAATGGGGTACTCCAAGCGAGGCGCAAACCGCGTTTTCCCAACCAACCAAACGCATGCGTGAACCAGGCAATCAAATTCACAAAGTGTCAAGGGAAAACAAAAAAATACCTCCTCCTCCCCTCACTCATGCAGTGAAATAAGGCGTTGGTTCTCGCTGCAGGATCGTGTGCCAAAAAAAGAAGATTTCATAAAAAAGAAAAAAAAAACAACTTTAAGAGACAATTTCACAAAACCTGAGAGTGATTAAGTCAATTTTTCAAACCCAGCGGTACTCCTACCCTCCCCATTTGCTCTCCATCGGTGGAAAAAATTCAATGTTCTTTTTTCCCCCGCTTTGCCTCCCACTTTTGTTTCTTCTCGCCCCAGCTTCCACTTGTGTGTGCGTGTCTGCCGTGCCTATGGCACTTCATCAAAAACACACATAGATTGCTTCTGAACTGATGAAGAAGAAAAATGCGTTAAAGGAAAAATTGCCGCATACCGTAACGCAGGAAGTCTTTTTTTGTTGTTGTTGTTTCTCTCAAATTACAGCCAGTGCTCTTCCCTGTCGGAGCTCGGTGGGTGCGTGAAATCGCTGAGGGTGTGAAGTTGAATCAGGCCCTTTTCAAATCCCAGCACTATCGCACGATTGTCCGCTTTTCCCTCCGGTGGAATGTCAAAGCAAGTGCAGGACCCCGTTTCAGGATTTAAAAGCGTCTGCGAAAGAACCGGGAACTCCTTTTCTTTCTTCGCCAAATCTAGAAGAAACAGCGTCCCACTGGCGTCCAGCAACCACAAGAGCCATTTATCGCATCCACTGAAACGCATCTCCTTGACGCTGTGGTTGCTCAACGGAATAGAAAGCTGAGGTGCGGCATCGGTGTGAAGATAAAGACGCAAAGTACCATCATCATATCCCACCACAAAAATTCGGCTGTCTACAGTACCATAACGCACGCAAGAAGGTACGGCTACCGGACGTGCAAAAAAAAGCGAACAAGGACCATAAAGAGAAGGTGCCGCTATGCTACCGAAACGACTTATATGCCGAACACCCTCTGAACAAGCCACAACATAATGTGAGGGATCGGTAGGAACGAAGTCCAGAGCAAAAGATTCTTGATTCATTGACAAGGCGTTGACGCGACTTTCGCATTTTGAGGTTGCTAAAAATAAACGTACTGTGGAGAACATATTCAACCCGTTTTCTGTATCACTAATTGCTCCCTTTGATTGGTCCTTTTCATTGACGACCCAAAAATACGTTTCTCCAGTAGCATCAAGGGACACCAGCTGTTCATTTTCGTCCTTACGAACACCTACAACGGTGTTATAACCCGCCACGGCAATAGCAACAATGGGTGCCATATGATTTCCTGTTTGCCACGATGTGGCAAAAGAGGGAAGCCGAAATGCGTTTCGCTGGAAGCAGCCAGCCGTGAAATGGTTTCGCTCTGGTTCTCGTGTGTCCCAGACGTAAAGTGAACCGTCCTCAGCCCCAGCGTAAACCAAGTAGGGCCACCGTGGACTCATACAAATGGAAGTCAGCAGAGATGGGCTAACAAGTATCTTCTCTGGTGAGAACGAGTCGTACACATTCCAAATTACTATAACCGACAAGTAGCGGTCCAACTCCATAGACGGGCCTTCTCCCCCCACTGCACCATGAAGAACTGCCAAATATGCCGGTGCACAGGGATTAAAAAGAACCTTCAAAACAGGTCGATTGCATGTGGCAACGCAAGAAAATGTCGTATAAGATGTCGAAAATTGCGTTTCACTCTTTGACCCAAGAGCTTCTGGACCAGCCCTTTCTTCGTCATTCTCGTCTAAAATGGCCTGCATAACAGGGAAGACACGCCCAAGAAAGGACGCCAACAAAGTACTGTCAATTACTCGACTGCTGGAAACGTTACTCAACGAAGGCTCGCCCATAACTTCATTGTTTTCCAAGGCCTCTCCGACGTTATCCTGACCCAAATCTCTAACCAATTGCATCGGTCGGTCCGCAGAGTTTTCAGGGCAAAGCCCCAAGTCACGCGGCACCTCTACAGCTCGATGCCGTACACGCACTCGTTCCGCTTGTACTTCAAAATCGATACGATCCTCTTCCGCCGGAGCCTGTACCCCGGTCTGCTTACGACCCATGTCCCCAAAATTACGAATATACATGTCGTATTGCGACTGCGGAGGAACGTCAACGAGGGCCGCCGAAACATCATCCATATCTACTAGACGTCGCAACGCCGTCGCACGTTGTAAGTCCTTCTCAAACTGTGCTCGATACCCTTGACGTTGCAGATCAGAGACACCAATTGTACTTTTACCCACCACTGTTCCCGATATGTCAGACATCTGAGACCGCCGCAGTTTTTTTTCCTCTCGCTCTTTGCGGCGCTTTTCTCGGCGTTCAATCGCCTCCGACTCTCGCTCCTCCTCAGCACGTCGACGTTCTTCACGTCGAGCAGCTTCCCTCGCCTCATCGACGGCGTGACGTATCGCACGGTTCTCCACTTCCATTGCAGCAGACAGTTCATCCTTTTTCCATCCAGGTATTACCCCAGAAGTTTTGGCCTCGTTGCTCTCCAGGTGCCACGTTGGTAGTTCATCATCTACCACAGTGTCATCATGAACAAATGATTTTTTAATCACATCCTCATTATCACTATTTTCTTGCTGCTCTTGTCGTTCTTTGGCTCTTTCCCTCTCCTTTCTCTCCGCACGTTCCCGTTCCTTGCGTGCATGTCTCTCTTCCTCTGTTTCATCGCGCTTGTGCACTCTCTCTCTACTTCCTCCTTCCGCAGCACCTGCGCGTCTCTCCCTTTCTCTTTCCCTCTCCTTTCGCTCCGCACGTTCTCGTTCCTTGCGTGCATGTCTCTCTTCCTCTGTTTCATCGCGTTTGTGTTTCCGCTCCCTCTTGTCGCCATCCACAACTTGTGCCAGCTTCTCCGCCTCATTCTGTTCCCTTAGCTTCCGCTCGGCACGTTCCCGGTCTTTGCGAGCGCGTCGTTCTTCCTCGGTTTCATCCCTCTTCGACTTTTTGACGGCACCGTCACCCATCTCTATAATGAACGAGCACAATGAAACCCTAAAAAGAGCAAAAAAAACAACAACGACAATGAAATGTAAATAAAACACCTACATCACAATGTTCACTGGGAGGGATCCATTCACAGCTAAATGCCTCCACCACGTCATTACAGTGGGATTTAACTTGTGCGGCTGTCATCTCAAAATTATGTCCCACAAGACGGAAAATATCCAAAAATCTAAATAAAATTCCCTGAAATAATAATAACAATAAAAAAAATGGACCTCTCCCCACGCATACACACAGATACACATATAAACGTCACCAAAGAAAATCCAAAAGCATCATGCAAATTATAGGGCAAAGTATGAGTCGTCGCCACAAAAAGATGTGCACAAAATCTAGCCGCACAATGAGCAAAAAGCGCTTCGGTATAGGCGGGGAGATCCTGGGAGCCATGTGCGCCAAATACTCCTCCAAAGCAACCGCATCAGGCTGTAGTAAGTTTAAAAGCAAAAAGACTACAGTCGTTCCACTTGATTTTGTTTGTTGTTGTTGTTTTTGTTCCTCCTCGGATCGGTGGCTGCTATAGGAGAGGCCTGGTGATCTCGTGAGGCCACCCTGAACAAATTCAATCCGCATGAGGCACAGAAATGCGACAGGGAGTAAAAAGAGCACGAGGCGGCAATAACCGACACCGATAAGAAATCGGCATTTTCTCGCTTCCGGTATTCAAAGAATTCATTTGCGCTCTCTGTACGGAAAATAGAAGGGCAGACCAGTGAGCCCGACGGCGTTCCCTCGTCCGATACCGTCTCGTCTCCTATTGCTGCCACGCGCTATAACAAAGAGACGAGACTCAAGCAGGCATCGTTCATAAGTACGTCCTCCATCCCCTCCCTCAGAAACAACAACAACAAAAAAAAGTGCCGCAAAAGAGGCAGTAAAAGGGATGAAAATTGTGGCACCACAACTTCGAATTGTGTGACCCCTCTCTTTTGGCAGACTGAGAGTAACCACAGTGACGACGGCAAAGCCACAAGGAACACATGTAAATCAATACAGAACACCGAATGAGCAATTTGGGTCCCGAAAAACTCTCACCAAAAAATCAAATAAAAAAAGACAAAAAAAAAACACCATATCTCATGGAGACGTACACAAGGACCAAAAAGAAGAAAAATAATAATAAAAAACGGTCGATGTTTCCTAACTTTTTTATTTTGCTATTTCCCCACCTCAAATAACGCAAGAACACATATACATTGTTGCGTGCAAATATACAGCAACAGTGCGGCTTCCTCGTAAAGATTTTAGGCAGACTAAAAGATGACTGTCACCAAAACATTGGGGGGGAAGGGGGAAGGGGAGAAAAGTAAAGGGTCTGCCCTGTGGAGGAGAACGACTCGCTCTCGCGTGTACACAAAGAAAAGAACCGAAGGACAAACTTTGGGCCTTCTCCCAAACCTTGAAAAACAAGTGCCCCTGCAACACCACGCTCCTAGAATGAGATTTTCATGTCCCGTAGTGTTTTCCTCCTACACATCTCTCCTCAAAATAAAATAATAATAACAAAAACAATTCTACACGGGACAACAACAAAAAACAAAAAGAAACAGGGGGCAATCCAACAAACAAAAAAAAAGGAAGTAAGCAACAGAAACCAAAACAAGCAGGGAAAAAAAAGCCGAGGAAATAGTTGTCGTTATCACCACAACCCCATCTCCTGTGGAAACACACAAAAAAAAACTGACAAAACAAGAATTGGCCATCACAAGGCAAAATCCCTCCGTTACATAACTCAAACAAAAAAAAAAGCTCATTATTTCATGTTTTGAGCCTTTTTTATTTATTTTCGTTCACCTCAGCTCCATTCAACGTTGCCGTTTTTGTGTCTCAGGACAAATATATATATATATATATATATATAAGAAGAAAAGAATGAAAGTTTTTTAAAAAGGCGATCAAAGTCAAAGACGTACATTGTTGGCCTTTGTTGAAACCGGAGTTAGGGCACCTACAGATAAAAAATTGAAGTGGTGGTATGCCCCACCACTGAAGCCATCTACATTTGGAGGAGTTGCTACACACCGCCTGGAAACATTTTTTTTCTTCTGAGAAGATGCATTCGTCTGAAAACGGGTGTCGATAGAAGAAATGGACGAAAACACTGGTGGAGGTGGTGGCAGTGGTAATGGCGCAAAGTCCATTGGAGCCCCGCCGAACGCATTGGGCTCGATAGGTGTCATAGAGTTTGTTCCCGGAGTTCCTAATGTTGGAAAATCCGGATAACACTGAAAACTAGCGGATTCAGCAGAGCACAAATTGCAATTAGTTGCAGCAACTGCTGAGGATGGGGGCCGAAACCTCAATAAAGAATTGCCTTTGACACGATATCGAAGCAGTGGCGCCCCACGGGCAGGGTGTTGCGGCATATCCATCAGGTTCATACAAGAATCCCTATTGAAATGCTTGTTGGAGTCCTGCCAGTTCACCCCATTTACGGAATTTGCAAATCGTAAAGAATCACTTTGAGTCTTTGAAGAAACTGTAGTCAGCATTGGCCCCGGCGTTGGCGCAACGGATAATGAATTCGTCAGCATATTCAGTTGCCGTTGCCGTTGCGGCTGTTGGTGTGGGTAAAAATTCCGTTGGCTCGAAACTGCCAAGGCAGGTGTAAAAGCATGTACCTCGCCAATGGTTCCGCGCGCGTTCGAACCGCCCTCATCACGCTCATCTCCGCTTTTTTGCGCAGATTCTTGAAGAGCAAGGAGATATGGCGACTCACAAAGCTGGCTTAAATGTGATGCACAAAAAAAAGATGGAAGAGGGCATCGTTTGCATCGTACTTGCCGTGGAGTCACTGATAAAGACGAGCACTCCGAATTGTGCTTGCGAAGCACCATCAAAGTATGTCCAAAGAGTTCCTTCAACACACTGTTGATAGCGTCAAAACGATGTCTTTGCTCCGTCGCCACCCACACGGGATCTGAGACAACGCCTACGCTTTCACACGTCCTAGATGATCTCTCAAAGCTGACATCACTGTATTGACTATTCGCAGCCAAAGAGGATAAGGATGTGTCACCAAGTACAATGGATCCCTTTTCAAACAGAGCAAGGCCCTCTCGAAAAGCGCGGCGAATACGTTGCAAGTGATTGCGACTAACCCCACGGCAGAGACTGGCACTCCATCGTAACGGATCCATCACATTCATTGTACGGAGGGAGAAGTGAGTAGTATCAAAGTTGGAGCAAAACAAAGTAGCGTCTTCCTGCGCGCCTCCGCCAGAATCAAGGCGCATCTGCTCTGTCTCCTCCGGAATATTCTCCATATTATTGAATCCTGCATCCATCCCTCCCATTTCCCGGTGCAATCCAATTGAATTCTTTCGTTCATCCTGACGACGGATATGTTCATCACGCAAAATGTGTTTCACCCAATTTACTGTTATAAGTGGCTTAGCGCGACGACGAATGCAGTGCCCCAGCTCTCTCTGCCCCTCCGCAGTAAGACCCAACATCCCCATACCCATGGGATCCTTAAAATCAGTCTCCTCTTCCCCACCCATCGAAGACTTGGGAATGGCGCCCAAATTTCCCCCTTTTCCCGCCAAAACCTCTAGCTGACTGAGATCAAACGGCTTTCCATCAAGGCAAGCACATGGGAGTGGGCCAAACACCGTGACACAGTAATGTTCAAAATCAAAAAAACTAAAAAACTTCAGGAAACGCGCAAAAAGTTGAAGCGGTGAAATGTTTTTTAAGGACTCATGTGGTTCACACCCCAAATGCGCCTCGCCGTCCTCCTCCCTTTCTTCCACTGAGCCAAGGTCTTCGAGAAACTCCACGGTGTTCATCATCGATATGAGCATAATAGTGGCCGCATAGGAAGAAAGGTACCCACCTTGTCCACTAAGTATGTGCGCCTCGTAGCAACACCAAGCCTTCAACAACAAAAGTGTTCGTTTTAAAAGATGCTGACAGCCTATCAACATATCCATTTCCTGCAAAAAACGAACACACACAACACCGCCCAGCTGGCCAACAGTAATATCAAAGCAACTGCCTTCCATAACAAGCTTCAAGACACGAACCTCCGCAACTACAAGGGCTTCAACGTAGACATGAGGGTTGTTTTCACGCAAGTACTCGGCCAAACTTGAAAGAAGCTCTCCACCTGCAATTGCAGCTGCTTGAGATAATGACATATTATTATTATTATTATTATTATTATTACTATTACTACTATTACTATTACTATCAGTATCATGATTATTATTATCATTATTATTATTGCGAATGCTACCGCTTCTGCTCATAATTGCACGAGCATGAGAGTTAACAGGAGCCTCCTCTCGCTCAATGATCTTGGTCGGATTTACAAGTCCCTCAACATCAAATGTCATATCATTATCACCGTCTGGTAAAACAGTATACGTCGCAACACTTCCAAATACGTAATATCGCAACTCGCCGTATTGCACACCTTTACGCCACGCCTCATGAGCAATAGCCTCCGTAAGATACTCAGATACGCAACGTAATTGCTTCTGCCGTCGCCACATCATTTTTTCCGCCGTTTGAGAAAGGTACGCCACGATTTGTTCATCCACAAGTTGACTAAGCGAGGAGCTCACCTCCGGTGTAAAGCTGTAACTGCGATGATGATGCTGATGGCACGTGGGCGGCTCAGAGAGAGAAGAGGTTGACCTACCATTCAATTCATACATTGCATTGCCATTTTTTATGGCGGTGGATGTGATGCCGTGTTGCTGCTGATTTCCCCATAAGGAAAACGAATCCCCCCCATCTCCATCCCCTCTTCCCATATTTGTAGGTGCAAACGTTGTTACTAAACTCGTCTGCGATTTAGCAAACACAGAGCCAGATAACTGTAGGCTCTTTGGCAATTGCCCTATTCTTTCCTGCGGCGCCGGTAAATGGTCACCGGAAGGTATCTCTTCGCTCAGTATGTGATTTTTTTCTTGATTTTCTTCCTCATATTCATTCTGCTGCTCTGGTTGCTTCTTCTCTCTGTGCAACAATGTCGATACCGCCTCGGTATCACAATACTCCCTTATGGGAATTACTACAGGAGCGGGCATCAGCTCACCTGCAGTCCTATTCCCTTGATTCCTTTTGGTGGGAGATGGTGGAAACCTTTCTGTTTCCTCTTTAATCAATATATTTCTGGAAAAACAGTTTTCCGATGGTTTTATTTTCTCATCAATACACATGTAACCACAAAATGAGCATTCACGAACTTCAGGGAATGCATTATTAGTTGCACATGGCGCCTCGTCAATGAGGTTGCCTTCCTCAGAGAGTAAAACGCTTTGTTTCTCCTTCGGAAACGAATGCGGAGAAACGAGGCGGCAACTGCCGTTGAGAGGCATCCCATCCCCCGCCATACTTCTGCCGCTGCCATTGGTTTGACTCTCAAAGCATTCACCTAAAATTTTGTCTTTCTCCAGCGACTGGGAACACAGTTGCAGGCTGATCGAGCCCTCTAAAGGAGGTGCTTCCTCAAGCATGAAATCCTTGGAAGGGTGAACTTTCCGGATCTTCCTCGGCATCATCATGGGGTTCTTTCGTCGGGGCTGTTGGCGCCGACAAAAACGATGGCACTGAGCTTCGTCGTTGATGTCCGCAAACCCAGTACTGCCCTTCGCTGGGAAGTTTTCTAAGGAGAGTTCCGTGGGAGGAGGTCCATACGACACACGTGGGGACTCCACAACAGGCTCCGTTCCTTCTCTTCGGTTAATTTTGCCCCCCGCTGTTAGGTGCGGTTTTCCCATTTCTTTCGTCGATGGTGCCCGCCGTGTCGCAGTGAAGGGGTGGTTGGTGCAGACCCGACAACACGGCAAATATCCGCCGCCGAGGGTACTAGTCGGGGAGTAAAGCCGAAGCGATTGGTTCCTTTGCTTCTGCGGTCGGCTAATTAGACAGACCGGAGAAAAGAAAAAAAGAAAAAATATATTTAAAAAAGTTATTAGAGATTGCCCACGCAAATTACAGGCTGAAAAAAGCAGCAACGCCACAACCGAGACCTATTCGCTGTGTTGCAGTAAAACAGCATGAGAAGAGAGGTATAAAAAAAAAAAAAAATAGTAATAATGACAACAAAAACAACAGAAGCCTAAAAGAGGGCAATACGACGGTGATGCTCCCGTATTTTTCTTTTTTTTTCTTTTTACTTTCTCTTCTTTTGGCCTCAATGGCAGTCATAAACACACGATGTAAAGAAATTCCGTCTCGGCGCAGTGAAAACAAAACAACAACGAAAAAAACTGTACAAAACAAAAACCTCGAGTCTACACACACTGAAAATAAGAATGCCCTCCTTCTTATTTCCCCGCTTCCCCTTCTGTCTCTCCCTGGAAAGAGCATGCATATATTTGTATGCAGATGCGCATGTCACACCGCTTCATGGCTGTGTGTCTTTCTTTTTGTTTTTTACTCTTCCTCCCCCCACCCCACGCACACGCACACACACACACACACACTCTCTCTCTCTATATATATATATGTATATGTATGTATATGTTTCGGGAAAATGCACAAGGAGGGATCAGTGTATTACATCAAATTCTTCATCTTCTCCAGTACTTCTGGGTGCTTCTGGGTGATGAGCCGCATATCATCTCGCCGAATACGACCATCTTTGCGCACGTCCAAAAAGAACATCAGTCTTTGCGCTTCCTCATCAATGACACGTTGTACCTCCTGGTCTTCAACATCGCAATCACCAACGTAACGTGTTGCCGCAGTGATAGTGTTTCTTATGTCATCAAGAGAAAGATAACCATCCTGATCGTCGTCATACGCGTTGAAAACAACAACAAATAGCTCCTCTGTGCTGTACATCACCGCCAAATGATAAAGCAAGAACTCCCTAAAGGAAATCACACCATCGCAATCGCGATCGTAGGCACGAAAAAGATGCAAGTACATCTCTCTGTCCAATATCTGCGCCGATGTCTTCCTCACGGCACGATTGCCGCCCTTACTATGAGTGTACTTCGCGTAACTAGGGAACCAGGAGGCCAGGTGGGTTCGTCTGTAATTTTTATACACACCCGTACTGTCTATATAGCGCTTGAATTCGACGGGAGTCATGACACCCTCCGGCGCTGCCTTGTGGAATTTCATGAACAGAAACTCGATGGCCTCCTCAGAGAAGCGATCCTTTACGAGTTCCTTGTATTCCTCCATTTGAGCACGTGAAAAACCTTGTCCCATCGTTACTCCCCCTTTTTTTATATCACTCTTCTTGCTGTTTGGCTACAGTCTGTAGGCCGAAAAGAGAGTATGTGTCCTATAAAAGTATCACTCTTCCCTTCAATAAACCACAGTAGAAGTGTGTACGCAATGGGAAAGCACAAAAACATTTCCCTTCACGAAGGCAAAAAATAAACGTATCACATTCTCACGACAGCTCCATTTCAGCATGTGTGCTCTCTTCAACTCAATTCGTTTGCTTTTTCCGCCGCCACAGGAAGCGTGCACCGTGGCCGCGACCCCTCACTCTCGCTCTATATGCTCTCTTTCTGTTCCACACCATATATTTCAATCCCGTGCATATCCCCAGTCACATTCCCGCATCCAACCTTCTCCAGATAAAAAAGGAACGCTGCTAAACATAGCTTCAAAAATGGGTGCACACAATGTGTCCTCTTCTGTAAAGATCACACTGATGAAGGAATTTGACGATGCCTTTTGTCTCATAAATTTGCCGGTAGCGTCATGAAAAGTGGGGCAAAAAAAAAAACCCTTGATGTCTCCTCCGGCAGCCCCCAAAGTGACAGGGATGGCCACGCCAAAAAAAAAAGAAACCGTCTCTCGCAATGTGGAGCACCTGTCGACTCCCTCCCAAAACTTAGCCGCAAGAGGCAATTCGCCTCATTGTGAAGTTGCGAACGCATTCATGTGTGCATTTATTCAAATGCAGACACAGCCCTTCCCTTGACGCCAAAAAGAAAAACCTCTGCTGCTTGTTGAAATGCGGTGGCAGAGAAGCCACGGTAGGCGCCCCCCAACTTTCGCCCTCCCCGTTCACGGCGAATGGGACCCAAATCAAAGGCGCACTTGAACAATCAAACAAACAAAAAGCGGCAAAACAAATCACAACAGCATTCGATGACAAAAGAGAAAAAAAAAAAAGAATGGCGCAGCGAGCTCCTCAGGTTATTCAGTGGAAGAAAAAAAGGGAACAAAACAAAAAAACGACAAAAAAAATTTTTTTAATGTACAAAAGCCACCTACTGTCGGGTCTTCCTTCACATTCCGTCTGGAGGGTAGAGTAATTAAACAAACTCAAAAAGATAAGCAGTCAACAAAATTCGTACATTAGAAAAGGAATAAAACAATCACAACCACAAATAGCAACAACAAGAAAAAAAAAATGTGATCGCACACGCACAACTGTAAGTCACCTCCCTTTTTTTTTGTGTGTGTGTGTCTTCTGCAAGCACAGCTGAGAAAAAAAAAAAAAAAAAACTTAAGCATCTCGCACTAAAAAGAGTATCGGTCCTGAATGCTTCCGTCCGTGCACGTTTGCTTCAAATAATTTGGGAGATAAGAAAGCGTAAATTCTAATTGGAATGGGGTGGCATTCTGCCCTAACGCAAAGTTGCAAATGTTGGACAATGAGGAGACAGCAATTTAGGGTTTACGGCGGAGTGGCCCTGAGGCGCTTGGGTTTGTTGGACCTCCAGCGCCTGGCTTTTCCTCCCCAGCGACAGAAGCCGCAGCGGCGATCGTTAAAGGAGGCCGACGCAGTAAGCCCCACACACACTCCCTACAAATATGCCATTCCCGCCGATTTATGTTAAGAAAAAAAAAAAGGCAAGAAAAAAAATTTACTGCCACGACCTGCAGTGACGGCTGCCACCGTTGCTGACGGTGGCGTCTTTGTCACGTAAAGCACCACAACGAAGATCCAAGCTGCTTCGTGCCACCGTATCAATGCCCTCCTCCCCTAAAAACTCCACACCGCACGGCAAGTTCTCAACAAAGCCGCCCCGCTCCCCACCCGGAGAAACAGGCAAAGACGCCGCACGCATAGCCCGTTGCAGGTGCCGAATTTCAACCTGCAACGCTGCAATAGTGGCCTCTTTTGCCCGCCGTTCCGCAATTCTCGTCTGCTTCACCTCCTTGAGATGGTTCGCATGTCGTTCAGATGCACGTTGCTTGATCAAATTTAGGACTTCGCTCAGCTCATCCTTTTCTAACGCATGACGATCTCTCCACTCATGCAGTTCAAGCAACAGAAGCGCACGCGCTGATTCTTCTTCATTTATTAGAAGAGTCCGTTCAACGATTAACGCGCCTTCCATCACTCCATTTGCCAACAATTCTTGAAGGAGTCCGTAATGCACACGACAATAATCATGAAACTCCTTAATTAACTGAAGTCGATTTACATGTTCCTGTCTTTGAACCTCAATCAGAGCAAACGTCATTGCCTCCGTAAAACGCAACGCTTCGAATTCCATGCAATAAGTGCACATAATTTCTTTTTGTTCCCGAATAAAAATTACCCGTTGCATTTCCTTATGATGTGATTTTAACTGTTTCCACGACAAATCCTCGTCCATTCGGCAGATAGCACGACCCCACGACTCCTTCTTTTGCAGATATAAAAGCTCAAATTGTTCCTCTTGCAACGACAGCAAAAATTCTCTATTAGCCTCCTCCTTTTCAACCGTTCTACGGAGGCCTGACCGCAGCACACAATTTCTGATATTCAATTTGTGTTCCATCCATATCCTTCGGCGTTCCAGTTTTTCCTGTGGCTCAACTAATTGTTCTCGTTCACTCTTCTCATCCAAAAACAATATCCGCCGTAAATTTTCTCGTTCGCGGCGTTCCACCGCCTCTAACTCTCGCTCCTTCAACCGTGCCTCTCGCATACGCTGTCTCATCAGCCGTTCTAAATATTTTTCCTGCTCTGCTCGCCGCACCTCCGCTTGTCTTTCCTTCTCTTGACGCAAGCGCTCCCCTCGATCTTCATTTGCGCCACAAAACGGGCGTCGGGGACGCGGTGATGGGATAGGACGCACGGTGTCCGGTAAGACTGCCGCCGAATGAATATCACGCGCCAAAAAAATTTTTGGAACCTCTTTATTTGTCCCCCCTTGCGGCGTGTTTTCGGGGGCTGCACGAGGAAAAGGAGAGGCACGCCGAATTCCAGCGGATGCACATGCTCGACGATTTTCATTCCCTGTACGGAGCTGCTGTGATCGTTGTAGAATTTCTTCACGTCTCTCTTGTTCTCGACGCAAAGCCTCTAAATCGCGCGCAATTTGCTCTCGTTTTTCCTGTTCTCTCCGTTTGCGAATGTTCGCCTGATGTTCCTTTTCTCGTTTTCTAAAGAACTCCTTTTGTTCCTTTGTGTACTGAGAAGCACGGTCTCGCCGCGGGGTGGCGGCGGAAGAGGTCCGTCGCTGACGTTCCCCAGCCTTTCGTGCCGCGTAGGAATTAAGCTCCTCGTAAATATTACTCGTTGCGTTTCCAGGCATCGTATAAGACTTGCAGCCAACATCCGAGGTATACCCGGCCCGTGGCGTCCGAATTCCCGTCGAAAATGAATTGGCGCCCAGTGGTTGATGCAAACGAAGGGTGCAGTCATATTTTTGCTTCCGCTCCAAACTCGAAAGGATTTCGTATGCCACACGAACATCGCGAAATTTCTCCGCCGCTGACGGATCGTTAAGATTTTTGTCGGGATGGTACTTGAGAGCCAATGCCTTGTACGCCTGGCGCACCTCCTCTATGCTGCTAAAATTTGGGAGCA